TGCAATAACCCTTTTATGTATTTGGAATAGAAGTAATATTTGACAAGATGAATGCAGCAGGTCTATCAGTTATCATCCCAGAAAAAAATGCCCCCAGTATTTTACTAAAGTTACTAATCAGATCTTTGAAAAATGTTGATAAGAGTATGCCTCACACGCTTGGTATGATAAAGGGACATGAGATACAGTATCTAACTTCCACTGTGAAATTACGGTTGCTCTGGTATATCTCAGCATTCCAATGGTTGCCAAAAAAAAGGTTATGTGAATCTCGACAGGAATGAATTCTGTACTCTGCAGGTTGCAGGATGTCGAAAGGGGAAATTTCCTGGAGTATTCACCTTGTCATTTTGTCATACTTGGGTCAGTGTTGCATTTATTTAAAAGCCTTTAAGATTGATTTTGATGTATGTGATTCGAGGGGATAAAGTAGAGGATATATAGAAAGGGTTACTAGTTTGTAAGGTAGGTAGGTAGATAAAAGGCGAGAGAGATGTAGATGGTTATTTTTATCAATAGTTTAAAAAAAAATTAAAGCCTGTATGTATGTATATATGTATACGCACGCACACACACGCACACACACACACACCTTTTTTTTCTTTAACATAAAGATGCATATATGCATAGAAGTAATATGTTGTATATTAGTAATCAGATATATTTATATATATATATATTTATGTATGTATATATATAATGTATTTGTGTGTATATATATAGGTATATATACGTATATATATAATGGATATATATGTGTATATATGTATATGTATACATATATAGATATGTATATATATTTATACTTATATTTGAATTTATGTAATTTTATTTATTTATTATTTTCTTTTCCAATATTTAAAGTTGATAAGGGTAACTTAACACTAGTAATATTTTTTATTTGGATAATTGTGTGTACCTTGATATATTTCATGTCTTTTTGCATTGTTTTTTCATCAATAACTTTAACAAATTGTTTTACCCTTTTGCTTTTCAGAGTATATCAATATGAGAAGTTAGTGAACTGAAAATAGAGCTAAGAGTAATGTACAATATATGTAAGACAGAAGCAATGGAAGATATGATTTTTATTGAGAAAGAGGGCTGTTTCCCAGGCATTGTAGAAAGAAACAGTTACCTGTGAGGAATGTGTAGAAGTTCGAGCAGGATGGAGCAGAATCTCTTTCTTGTTCCAGGTTTGAGTGTTCCTACTTGATATGGCCAGTGCCAAGAGCTACATGACTGAAAGGGAACACCTCTGACTTTTTTAAGTAAAGTGCACAAAGAATTCCTAAGCTCAGTGTGTTTTGAGGCAGATATCCCATGTGTGGGGTGGCACGGGACACGGTCGGCGAGAGTGACTTTGTGCCCCCATTGGAGGCAGCCATGCCCCCATCCATCACTTTGGGGTCTGAGCCTCCCAAGCCAGCGTCGGGGCCTGGGGAACACCCGCCTCTGCAGCAGCCTCCAGCCAACAAGGACATCCCCACCATTGACCTCTCCTGCGACGAAAATGACGACCTCCAGAAAGCTATTGCACTTAGTCTCCAGGACCAGCAGGAGACTCCAACGCTTCAGGGAATCTCAGCCGAAGACCAGGAGGTGTCCAGGGCTTTGGAGGCAAGCCTTAAGGACTCCCAACCCCAGGCCACCATAGACCTGCTCAATCCAAGGGAGCGTAAGAGGCAGCCGGGAGTTCCTGTAGGCTTGAAGAACATAGGTAATTCGTGTTGGTTTAATGTCATAATTCAGCCTCTCTTCCATATCCCTGCATTCCGTGACATGATCCTTAACTTCTCCCAAGATGTGGACATTGATGAACAGATGGAGGAGACCCAGAAGTCCTCAAGGCAGCTTGTTCCAGCACTAAGAAAGTTATTTGCTCTTATGATTGGTTCCAACAGGAAGTACATTGATCCTAGTCATGCAGTTCACATATTTCAGGGACAGGAAATGCGGAAGAATGCCCAGCAAGATGTTTGTGAATTTACACATAAGCTTCTTGAACGGTTAGAGGAGGAATACCAGCAGCTTCTTAGAAGGCAAGGTGTAGAGAAGGAGAGTTCTGGATGTCATGTTTCTAAAGATGCAGATTTTGATAATCCAATTATGAAACTTTTTTATGGTCAGTCAAAGAAAGAGGCAAATGAAGATGAGGATGGACCTAAACTTGAGGCCTTTGGACAGTATCCTCTTCATGTGATGAAATATGAGGATATTCATGAGAGCATCCTTGCCTCCATGTCAACCAGCATGCCGAACATGACAGGAGAGACTGTGGAACCAGTGCAGCAAGAAACGTGGTTCAAGATGCTTCCTCCTGTCTTAATATTCTCTCTCTCTAGGTATGAATATTCACTTGAAAAGAAGAGAGCAGAAAAAGTGCACAACAAATTTGAGTTTCCAGAGTTCCTATACATGGACCGTTACATGGAAATTAACAAAAAGCTAATAAAAGAGAAACACATAAAAGTTGCAAAGATAAAGGGTGAACTAAACAGCCTAACAGCAACACTTGATAGGTACCTAAAGTATGGGAAGGGGGATGCAAAGTACCCAATTGGAGATATTCTCAAATACACTCTGGACTTTGCTCAGACAGGGCTAAACCCAAGTCAGGAAGTTGAATCAAATAATGTTCTGTCTCCCTCTATCATGGAGGTGGATGGCATTGAAAGTTGTGAAAATGATGTGGAAATGACTGAAGATCCAGAGGTTAAAAGAGTCCAGGAAAAAACTGTGCTTGATAGAGAAAATGAGAAGATTGAGGATAGAGGAGAGGAACTAGAAAATAGTGAAGTTATCAAATCTGAGGATATTGAAAACAACTTGTCAGTCAAAGAAGATTCTATTCAAGAGGGACAGACTGAGAAGGAAGAGATCATGACCAACTGTGTGGAAGAAGGCAACCCCAGACCTATAGATGATGAGCCTCAGCAGCTCCCGTCTCCTTCCAAGAGGATGCGGATACTTCCTCCAGCCCCAAGAAACATCACCCCCTCAGAACTGAACATCTTGCAGTCATGCCTCTCTCGCTGGCTTCAGGACATCAATTCTCAAGTAGCCGAGCTAAAGAGATGCATCAGTGAACTTGAACAACAATTGCGGCAAATGTATGATGAGCCATACCTAAAGAGAATCCCTTATAGACTGCATGCTGTTGTGGTTCATGAAGGTCAGGCATCTGGGGGACATTACTGGGTATATACATTTAATGGTGCGAGAAAAACTTGGGTAAAGTTCAATGATATACAGGTTGTTGATTCCAACTGGGAGGAGTTGCTACAGGACAGTGTAGGTGGTCAGAATAATGCTAGTGCATACTGCCTTCTTTATATTGATGAGAGCCGCTACAATGTGCTGTTTCCCCAGCCTCCAGAGAGCATGGAAAACATGCTAGCAAACCTAGCAATTGATTTACAGGAATATTTAAAGAATGATAACATGGCATTTGCAAAAGAATTAGAGGAGTGGGACTTGAAGAATGAAAAGGTGGAACAGGGAAAAGTTGCTGTTAGACCTCATCAAGAACAGCAAGGTTCAACTGGTACTTGGGACAACAGCATGGCTCTAGCACCTACGACAGCACCCAATTCCCCTGATGTGATCTGTGTTGAGGACCCTGAGGAGGCCAGCTTCTTCACTGATGTGCAGACAATGCTCTCACAGACTGTGCTAGATGCTTTAAATAAAAAAGATGATATTTCCTTGCAGAAAGATCATGGGAACAATTTGACTCACATTTTACGAACTGAATTTTTACGACTGCAGAGTTTTGCAGATGTTAATGCTGATAGTAGTCCCTATGGTGAATCATCAATTTTAGACTTTGGTGTATATCTCATAAGAAATAACCAAAGTGTGGAGCCTCTACTTCATTGGTATGGTTGTGAGGTTGTTTGGCAAGTAGCCCAGAGCTGTAGTGAAAGAACCCCACTTATAGAACGTGTGGCAATGGAAGCAGCACAGCGGCTACACCAGCTCCGAGAGCAGCACCAGCGTACAGCGGGGGCTGAATATAGGGGTTGGAGACGCCACTATCGCACTTTGATCAACTGTGCCTGGCATTTAGTATATGGACATAAGCAATACGAGAAAGGTTGCCTGGAACGTGCCTTGCCACTTTTACTTCAAGCTTGCAAAATTCACACAGATTTAGCTGAACGGCCACCTGCAGGCACAAGGAAGACCTTAGACAGACAAGTACTCTGGCAGTGTCGCCGTGCTTGTTTGTTGTCCCTCAATAGACAGCTTGTAGAAACCTTTCTAAATGGGGAGGGTGAACAATTAAGTGATATTCCAATTAGCGTTTCAACATTAGTGGTTCCTGCTATATCGCAGCTCTCTTCAGAGAAGGAGGATAGTTCTACTGCAGCAGAAGTCCGCGCTCAATGGTGCTCGCTTTTGGAGCGGCAGCCAGGTTCCCCAGGCAAATCTAAAATGATCGAACAGATTCTGGAGGGAGTCTTGAGCGGTGGAGGGGAAACTAAAGGTGGATTGCCACTGCAGATACCACGCCCACCAGCGGTACTTCCACTTTATAAGCAGTACGTGGATGCTTGTAATGCTATCATGTCTGCCTCATCGAAGCCCAAGGCGCAGACTAGTGATTTGTGAAACAGTTTTGTAATAGTCCCGCAGGCATCATCACGCTTTTAAAAGTGATAGGTATATGTGATCATTTGGAAAAAGCTTTAGGTATGTAAAGAGTTAATTGTCTTGCTGAAACTGTGATAAACTTTTGACTTAGTGCCGAATGTGAAAGCACCATTTGAAAAGCTTCCTCAAATTTATTTATTGATTTATTTTTTATGAGTGTTATGATTTTTCTTTTTTCCTTTCCTGTTTATCTCTCAAGAAGTTTAATTACACAAAGTTTACTTAGCCATGCAGGTCACAAGATTTGTAGTATAAGAAAGCTTTGTATATAGTGTAAAAATTAAAATGTGTAAGTGGGATTAGGCCTCCCATATCTCCACTTTCAACACCAACAAGAAAGT